TTCTCAGCAGTTTGTATCATGCTGTTATGTTTTTTCCCCGACAGACATCTTCCTGAGATGAGGAACACATATGCTCTCCTCCACTGATTACAACATATACCGTACTCTAACTGCATGGTACTTTTATGTAAGAAAGGAGTAACATTACATTCTCAAGATGGGCTGGTAAGTAAGACAACATTGCTTCAGGTTCTTTTCATATTACCTTACAAGAAAAACAATCAGAACAGTAGCTAATAAACTTGGAAGAAGGTCTTGGTGTTCAAAAATTAACAGATGTTGGGGATGCAGCCCCTCTGGAACTGGAGCATACTAACTGCAAATTTAGATCTGATTTTATTTCGGAAGCATTTCACTGAGATAATGTCTTACCTCTGCAGCATTTGTAAGTATATTTGATATCTCTCTGTAATATCAGAGGAGGAAAACAGGTCAGTATATTTATTCAGTGATAAATGCCTGAGCTGAAAAAAAAACCAACAAACAAACACTAAACAAGCTAGAATTTCACTTTGTTAATATTAAGACAAATAGCTCTTTGGAGGAGGCAGTGCATGAAAAGTTTTGCTTAGTTCTGTTTTATGAAATGATAGTGTAACTTCAAAGAATTCCTCCATTTCTGGTTGGTCAAAAAAAATCGCACACACTATTCTGAAAGGCAGCTGTGTAAAAAAAATCCTTCAAAACAAGAAACAAAAATAATTATTTGCAACCTGCAGCCAAATATGAGATAAAGGTGTCAAATCTCTGGTGATCCACAGCTGAACTTGGATTTTGTCATAAGTAAAATGGGTCTGTTCTGTTCTCTATTGTTACTACCTGCCACATCTCTGCATCAGAGCATTATCCTACTCCATGGCACAATTCACTATAATTGGTAGTCCCAGAGAAAAAGAGATAACTACAATATAGAAGGAACAAAAGAAAAAGGTTACAATACATGTCAGGGATGAGATGTACTCAGTAACTTCACACCTGCTCTTGCTTTGCCTGCCTTTCTTCTCAACTTCTGAAATCAAAGCAAAAATCACAAACACTATACAATTTTCCCCTCAATAAAAAAAAAGCCAAAAGGCACACAATCCCCTCTTATAGCTCACATCCCAAGTTAAGAATAATTAATACTCTTAATATATTACTAACAATGACAAGTCTACAAAGCATAGCCTTCTATGAAACACATTTGTATAAACAGCTAATATGATAATATAAAATGCAGCCTTATTATCAAAGCTGGATGTATATAACAAGTTACCCCTGGAAGAAACAAGAGTCATCTCTTTTTCCAGACCAAAAAAAAAAAAAATATTAACAAGTCCTTCACAGAATCCATTAATATATTTGTAAAACCATTTAGCCCTCACCACATGACCTCAGTATAGCAATCACTCATCTCTAGCCAACACAGCTGAAGAAGAGAACACAAGCTGTTCTGTTTGCTTCTTTGCACGGCTGTCATGATGCAGGCTAAGGGCATTGCATCTTGCATTTTCACGGACACATCCTTCTGCATTTCTAAACTGATAAAGCAACAACATACACGTGCATGTATGTACCTATACAGAAAGATACACATATATGCCTGTAGTAAAAGCATTACAACTTACTGTGAACAGTACTGAAGAGAGCTTACACTAGTTTATGTTGTGTCTGATAGGCTCAGAGAGCTTCAGAAACAGCTGGAGATAGATGAGGCATTGGAAAGAGCTGACAGTTTCTTCTTGGAGGGTAAATTCAGCGTCTGATGTGATAAAAGAAAAAAGAAAATCCTTTTGCTGCAAAAGAACTGTGTATGTCTGGGACAGTCAGGAACTATGTACTTGAATAACCGCTCCTCTTGTTCCCTTCCAGAATGAGAAACATTGTGAGTGACTATCGGAGGCATAGTATTTATCAAGACATGATGGCAAAAGATGGGAAGAGTTCACATGCTACATGCACACTAAAAGAGAGGTTGGCCTGGATGTAACCAACTGGATACCAGTAAACAGCGAAGCCTAGAGAAAAAAAAAAAAAAGCTTTCATATAGTGGAGCTGGCTTCTGCACAGACAGCAAAAGTAAAAGGTAGTTCTGCAACATCAGAACTAACAAAGCTCTCATCCCTACAGATCCATAGCTTGTAGGTGATGGACTTCAGTGTGCAAGAAGGTGCTAGGGTGAAGATTAAAGCTTGTCCTATCATAAAGACATTGAGAAGTCTAGCTCTCCCCCTTTCCTCCCTAGGTAACAAGTTAAAAGTGTCTCTTGCTCAGGGGCAACTTCTACAGTCTCCCTCTTCCACCAGCTACCTATTCCATCCAGCTCTCAAGAACAGTGTCTTTCATCTTCTGCTCCTCTGTTAAATCAGACTGAAGTTGGCTCACATACTGAGATCTATTGCTGGCATAGGGAGGGAGGGAAAGCTTAACAGACACAGACATAATCATGTAGAACAGTAGGACCGTTTCCTTATAAGGCCCCTTCTTCACTTGAGGAATAACTGATCATGAGGTTGCAAATATTTTTAAGTCAAGAATAAAAGATTCTAGTACTTTATCATATCTCCTATGGAAATATAAGTCCTTCCAGATTTCCTGAATCTTTATTGTTAAGGAGACAAAGCAAAGATCTTTGTGGACCTAGAGCTTCTTAGCACTTAAGTAAACTACAAAGATATTTACAATCACTAACACTCAGCTCAGCCAAGCTTGTATTTCAATCACACACAAGTAGGCATAAAAATCCGGTCTTACTGATTCCTACATGTCTAATATGAAGCTTTGCAAATGTCCATCCTTTCTTTTTTTGCACCTATTACTGAAAAGACTAGTTTTCTGTATTACAGATTAGCTACTGTTTATCAGCATGGCCGCAGTTTCTTCACCCAGGCCAAACAAAATTTCACATTCATTATTAGCCAAACTTCTGGTAAGTTGTTGCAATCTGCATTTATCTGCACTTCTGTGGAGCTGAAGTTTTGACGAACATCAATCGCAAGAATTTACTACAGCTCACGTACATGACATGCTAAAAATATGAGCAGGAATATCTAATGCTTTTATGCTAATCATTAAAATGATCACAAATTGAACACATACAATAGAGAAATCTATCTTTTTAGCACATACAAGGAACAACAAAGAAAGCTACAGATGTTTCAGCTAGTTGTATCCAACTGAAGTATCACTTCTTCCATGAGTTAAAGTAGAAAGGTTTTTTAAACCATAGGAAAGCTCATGCATCCAAAATATAAAGCCAAGAAAAGGTGAGGAATAATTTGTGCAAAACTAGAGACATTAGACTCTTGGAGAGCATATGCAAAAAATCTATGACACACATCATCCTAGAAAAAATATTGAATCAAGGATAGCACTGTCAAAATAGTCAACATTTTTAGATTCAGTTGAATTAAATGTAGGCTGTACAGAAGAAAGCCTTCCCCTCTCTCCTTTTCTTTTTCTGGGTTTGTAGCTGATTTTGGTCTTCAGAAGCAGCAAGATACCAGACAAGTGAAAACATGGAAGGCTTTCAATGGAATTATTTGATGTGTCAAAACAGCTTTTAGAGACCAGAAGTGTTTCAAAGAAAATTGTTTCCTGCTGTGCTAGAAAACTGTATCATCAAGAATAAAGAAGAGGTTAACCTACTTAAATATTACTGTTATCCATCATTCCTTTCCCTTACACTATTTTAGAGTACGTTATTCCTTTCACTTTGAGTACCACAAATTTAAGTCAGCAGCACAGTCTGTCCATATAGTCAGTAAACAACTGACTTGCATTTGATTTGGTCTTTTCTTAACATTTTCTTTCTTGTCTTAAAATGAAATCACTGACTCTACAGATTTTATTTCCTTGCTAGGTAAAGCATTTAAATAAAAGATCCTTACCTTTGCCTTTTGAAGTGGCGAGCTAATCCTATTTTTTTAATTTTCCTTTGTATTTTTACTTTCCTTCCATGAGCATAGTGGTAAGTGATTTGTGGATCCTTTTCCCTTTCATACACAATTTATTTGGCTGTTCCCCCTGCATTAGTGTAATCTGCCACACCACTGACTTGAAGTCACCAGAATTCCCTGTTCCTCAACTTTCAATCACCTGAAAACATAACCCTCCTACTGTTACATTTTGTAAGACAATTTTCAGTTTCTGCTCCAAGTCCTCTATCTTTCCCTCTACATTTACATTGGGTATTATGGCATAAGCACAGCTCAAAGCAATTATACATAGCCCTGAGACACACTCCTTATTCTTGTTTTTGTTCTGAACAGGTTCTTCTGTAATGTTACTTTAAGAATTGCTTTAAAGGAGGGTGGTGCCTAAGAGAGGCTGAAATGTTAATGCACTAATATGTATGTACCTTTAAAAAGAGAAGGAAGACTTGTCTGACTGTTCAAAAGAAAATAAAGCACAACACCCAGAAGGAAACTGGAGTGATTATCCGAAGAGCCACTTTGCTGTATCTCAGTCTGTTTACATGTCCTGTTAATTAAAATGCAGCCATTGCTTTTCCCATTCCATTTTTCTAAGTCTTTTTGAAAGTCTGGACCTGCAGAAGAAACATGTCTGACAGCCATGTAATTATTCTTTTTAAAATCAATTAGATACCAGTTCATGTTGTTCCTTTCAAAGTGCAGTTTGAAACATAAGCATATAATATATACTTTTATGTACAATGAGCACTGAGTAAAGTTTAACTTGCATTTAGGAAATAAATGAAATAAAACCCTGTGATTTTCCTGGAGTTAACAGAACACAACCAGCTTAGCTAGCGTACCTCGATTTCATTTCAACAAACATGTTTGTTATATTCGCACGTCTGTGCACTTGATTTTGCCTCTCTCATTCACAAAAAAAAAGATCTTCTGGCATAAAATTATATAGCAATGTAAAGTATAGAAGAATCTGTTTTGAACCATCCAATGCAATTTACTCAGAAATATGGTTATATATGAAAACCACAAGTATAACGTTTTAGTTGTGGTATGTTGGAATGGGAGGAAAAAATACAGTTAAGACTATTTCTATTTCCATATACAACTTTTATTGCAATACCTGTATTCTAAGAGTACAGATACAAATATAAAATGACCCATGACAGACTTTAAACCTGCCCAAATACCAAATGAATTTCTCAGTTCGCTATTAGAGCCAAAGTTGACAGGACTTCAACAGGTGATAGAGGAAGCTTCCCCAGTCTCTCTCCAAGAACAACCAGGATTCACCATATTTTTGGTCCAAGATGTATGCTTTAAGTTGACAGCTGAGTCTATGAACGAGTGTATTTACCCCAGATGTGCAGCATAAAGACAGAAGCAATAAAAAGAAGACTCATGACCAAAACTGGAACAGGCCCACTAAAAACAAAGAAAAAAATGCATTAACATAAAAAAAGTCTGCTTTGTCCAAAGGCCAGTCATTTTCAGCCAAGTGAGCTCATCAGTTCATAAGCAATTGTATGGGAAAACTCTTATTTCATTCTCATAGAAATACCTTAAAGTACACAGAAATGAGATAGCCATCTCTCTCAAAAACTGCTCCTGCCTCTGTGTTTTTAAAGGAATAGTTGTACATACCCTAAATATTACGTAACTATAAAGCACAATATAGTAACAAAAACCCCCCACTTATTTAAAAAGTAATTAATGGTTCATTATTACTCATAGTTGTGAAAACAATCTCCAGAAAATTAGCATCTATATTTACTACTCGGATAGCCTCCTGAGCAGAGATGTAGTCAGATACAAAAACCAACAGAGTCCTCTAGCGGCTAGTAAAATTTTGGCATAAAATTTGCATTAGCTGTTTTTCAGAGGTTTTATTTCATTTGAAAACAGCAGCAGCGGGTGAGAGATGAGGACTTCTGTTTTCTTGAAAAAGATAAACAGAATGTCAAAGTTAAGTCCATCATTAAATCATTTCCTAAAATGTATGAATTAAAAAACTTCTTTTTTCCTTCCTACTTTTATACACTGCTTAGAAATTGTATAGTGATGTTTTTAAAAACCAGTTTAATCTTAGGGTGCGTGTTGAGAGACTCAACCAGCTGTTTCACGCTGTTCTGAGATACAATTACATGCACTATTACACAACTACACACACTCAACTCTGCTTCATACCACTCACGTCATACAATCTCATTTCTGATTTTCAACCTGCTATTGGGAGAAACACCACGAATTCTGTAATCCAGCCTGGATTACCCTCTAGGTTACTGTTTATAAGCAGGTAAATGTTACTCAAATACAAAGTAAAAAAGAAACTGAAAATGGACTGAAACAATTTACTAATATTTTTCTATGAGATCATGGTCCATGTACTTGAAATGTTCGTAACTGTAATCTTACATCGAGTTTTAAAACTCAATTATTATCTACCATGCTTAGATTTATTTGGGTATGGAGAACCTTCAGCACAGACATAAAGCATTTAGCAAATAAACCGATGAGAAAATGTGCCAAATAAAAAAAGTCTGCACACACAGCGACTACATAAGCAACCCCTATCACGGGATATCTGTCACTAAGCAACAAAACGTGCTTCTCAATCTCCAGTGTTTTATACACAGCTTATGTCCTACGTAATATAAATCGTAATGATATCAGGTGCACAAAGTCCTTGCACTGTATCTGAATTACTATTTAATTCATTTGAGCCTTTAGTTTTAGTAACACATAAGCTACTCTTTGTCAAAGGCACAGAGGAGCACCACTAACCAGAACAGAGTGACACAGAAACAAACGGGGAGGATTGCTTGTGTGTTTGGTGGGTTTTTTTTGAAGTGCAAACAACAATGATCTCCCTACAGAATAATCAGCTTTCCAAAACTGACATGTGTATCTCATTTCCTCCAGTCCCAAAGACAACCTGCTGAAACCCTGCAATTCTTCTCCATACACCTGAATCTTCTCAGCCCACCACCCAGTTTAAATAAATAAATAAACAAAGCGATTTGGGCACCTCTAAAGATTTGGTACTGTGCATTCGCAGAATGTCTTTCTTAAGGTTGCATATTGTACTACAAACCCAATTTGATTCTCTGTCATGGCTCCACACTGCCTATAGCTCTTTAAGCAAGAAAGCTCAAGACAAGATACAGGAACCACAGGTACCAAGTGCCACAAAAAGAGCAACAAGCTTGGGTTTAGTCTTCTTTTCAAAGTATATGATACTCGATCTGAGTTTTAAAGAGAAAAATATCATATCCCACTCTCAACCAGACACCCCACAGGCTATTTTTTTTAGCCTCTTGTACCACAGATAAATGTACTTTCCTGAGGTGAACCAAACTTGCTGATTAAACATATTTATTTTTGATGTTGAGTACAGATACTAAATACCTGAAGCATCAGTATAATTATGCACAATATAAAATATAAAACTTTTGATTTACAGCAGAAATCTACTGGATCATAGCTAGCATGAAATATTTTGTTCTCAAGTGGTTTTATGTACTTTTTCCTAGTGATTTTAAGAGCACATATTTTAAACAACATGAGAGAACACAAGAAAAAAACAACACCAGGCTAAGCCTTCGTACTGCTTTATGCAGTAGCGATCACAACCATTTTTAGACACAATTTTGGCTGAAGAACTTTACTGAGGCAACCACAGACCCTCTATAACCCATTTTCATTTTTAAGCCTCCTGAATAGGAGATTTAACAACGCCTAACAAAGGTTTGCTATGGAAAAAACATTCCTAGAAAAATACATGGAAAGCTGTAAACGAAAAAGTTGTTCCCAAGCCATGGTTCAGAAAATGTTACATCTAATGTGTAGGTGATTTGTAAAACCAACTCACTTTTACAGTTTTCTTTTCCTCCATTAAAAGTCTGACCACATCACACAGCTACCCACAGTAGCTTGCAAAAAAACCACTACCAGTGTTTCAAAACCTTAAAATTGGGAATCACTGTGTTGCAACATAAATAGAAGGGAAAAATATCTCTACTGACCTGCTTGTATTAAAGATTACAATAACTGAATGGCCATTCAGCATCAAAAGTGAAACCAAAGGACTCACAAGAAAACCTACTGAAATTGGTAAAGCTGCTTTGACAGCTTGTATCACAGGTCTATTAAGAAAAAAAAAAAAATCTACCTAATTGTAGAACACTTCTGTTTTTTCTAAGTTTGATTTTTTTTTTTTCAATTCAGCTTTAGTAGACCAAACACCACAGAAAATAGTTGCCTTGCCTATCTGCATAGATTTGCTCTAGAACACTATTGTTGCTCATGGTCTTTTTCTTTTCCTTGTCTTGTCTCCTCTCTGGATTCTGAAAACAAGAGCTTCAGTAACAGAACACCATTACTTTGATGCTTTGCTGTATAGTTTTTGGTTTTAAAGTGTCAAGCACATATGAAAATGAAAACACATACGACAACTTCAGAGGAAGGATTACTCATGGAACAATCACTAGCTAAACTACCACCAGCTCTTCCCCACATGTTCTGTTTGTGCAGCCAGTAGCAGCCCTCTTAAAGGACTTCAAAATAAAATACTAATGGATTCTAGAAAAAATGAAGCAACAGGGACATCCCCGAGTGTCTCGAGTTTCTTCAGCCTCGTAAGAACAAGAGGCCATGAAGTATAACTCTACAAGAAGCACAAACACCCACTCAAGGTATGACTTAGCACGCACCCATCAGCTGAAATACACCTGTCACCTTTGCTACCCAAGCATTAGGCTGCAAAACGTGTTTGGGAAACTGATATGAATGACTTAAACTGTCCAAAAAGTAAAAACTTAGGCTCTCTGTACAGGTTAAGGGACACTCTCACCAGATCTTTGACCATAACCTTAGAATAGTCACCTTGTAAAAACAGAGATATACAAGGTACCAGAATTTGCAAGCATAGCTAAAATAACTTTTCTTCATTTTTTTAATAAAAACCCCTGAGATTCTGCAAACATACAGCATTTCAGTTACATTATGTTTCCAAGGGTGGGCGCAGGATCACAACATATCTATTAATAAAGAAAAAAAAAAGTTTAATTAAAAGAGAACGAAAACATGCATGTAGATGCCGAAAATCACTGACAAGTAATCTTTACCAATTTCAAAGGGATTGCTTGCAGTCTTCAAAGACCACTTAAGGTAAGTCTAGGCAACTACAAAACGTAGCTTCTATCTACCTTTTATAACTTTAAAAACTACCTCTCCAGGTTTACAGATTAAATAGAATATCTCATCCAAAAATCTATCTCAGTAGTCAACAGTTCAGCATATTTTCCCATGGAGACCAGGACATTCACCTTTCAATTCAAAGATTACATAAGAAGATTAAACATATGGCCCCCATACCTGCCACCACCCATATATCCAACTTACACTTTGAGCCCTGGAGAGTCCTCAGTGTAGAATCGCCACATGCCACCAGTACCAGTGGAAGTGGCACGGCCTGCACTTCTTGTCCCACAGCTGGCATTCTTCCTTTAGGAGATAACGGAACGAAAGAAAGACCAGAATCCATTAGCTGTCTAACAGCTTCTAGCACTTAGAAGGCACTCCAAGAGATTCTGCAGAAGCAAGACGCCTGCCTCAGCCTGTACAGCCAGGCAAGCAGAGGGCACGAAGGCTGGCACAGAACCGCCTGGGGCCACGGAAAGGTGCACCGGGGACTGATGAGTGAGGCCCGCAGGGGCCCTGCCCACACACCCCACGGAGCGACAGAGCTCAGCCCGTTCGCATCCTCCCTCTGCGCCCCGCCGGGGCTGCCCGGACACAGAGCACAAAGGACATGAAAGGAAAGGGCTGTCCCCGCTAGGAAGACGCCGCGGGCACCTACCTCTGCCGGACAGTGAAGCCGGCCGAGCGGGGAGGGGCGTGCGGGGGAGCCGACGCTCGTGGCGCTGGGGTTGGGCCCGGGCTGCGGAGAGACGAGAACCGGGATGGGGTGAGAGGCGGCAGATGCAGCCAGGGAAGAAGGGGCGCCTCAGCTGCCCCCTGCCCCGGGCAGAACCTCACCATAGCGGCGGCGTCTAGCTCACGGGGTGAGTCCGGCCTCACAGACGCTCCTCTGCGGCCGCTCTGG